AAAATGGTGGACATTTTTCAATTGATACCCAAAAAAGTGGACATTTTTTAAAATATCCTTAAAAATAATAAGACGAAATTGCACTACATGTCATTTTTTAGCTTTACATTTTAAAAAAAGTCACTTTTTCAAAGTCTTTTACAAGATTATCATTTTTAGACATTTTTGTCCCTCTAGAGAATTTAAATACCCTATACATCCTTGAGTTGACAACATAAAAAAATTAAATAATGCTATCTGTACACCTCATGGTGTACACACCCCCCCCAACATAGAGGGGGGCCCACACATATTTTATTGTGTGTGAGCCCCCCTCCATGTGAGGGGGGGTGTAAGGCTGTGTGTACATGATTATGTACACGTAGCATGATTCAAAAAAGTTATACAAAAAGTGAAAAAAAATTTGACAATCAATCACCTCATAATTGAACTTGAAAAAACTTGAAAACCCCAAAACCACTACAAGAAATTTATAATTTTATATTAAAGGAGAACTAATTTTATTAAAAATCAAACCCTATAATTGAACTTGAAAATTTTGGAAAAAAAACTTGAAAACCCCAAAACCACTACAAGAAATTTATAATTTTATATTAAAGGAGAACAAATTTTATTAAAAATCAAACCCTAAAATCCAATTACATTATTCTTAGCCTTTGACATTCACGGATTCACGTCTCTCTAATCGTCTCATCCTCACTACCAAGTGTAACCATCATCAAATCCGTCGAACTCTCGGTCATCGCATTTCCAGCAGCGACTCTGTGCACATATACCTGGTATTGTACGAAGATAAATAGGTAGTGTAAGTTGATAAGGTCGGCAAAAATGGAATGGATTTGATTTGATTCTTGGCAAAGAGGCTTGATGCTCTTAGACCTATTACAGAAGATGAAGTTATTGCCAAGGTTGAACCCATTTTCAAGGACTCCAGTGTTCTTGATATGAATATTTCACTTATGGAACTTGCTTTCCCTTTTGTTTCAAGATTGGGATTAGGGTTTAATCTCTAACTTCTTATAGTCATCTTTAGTGGGCGAGAGTGTAGCTATAACTTTGGAAGTCTTATTGTACATGTTAGATCACCACTTTCTGTTTGTTTTCTTTTTTCTTATGCTGTAAATTGTTTGTAAGGAGGATTTATTAAAATATCAAATGGGACCCACAATATTCTTGAAAAATTCCATATTTTTTTTAATTTGAAATCAATTTAGCATTGACTATGTGGAAGTAATTATTTTGATTTTGATTTGTTATTTTTGGTTTGGGCAGTGAAAGTGACCATTTATTTGGAAATACGAGACTCAAAATACGGAAGGTAATCAATCTTTGCTTTGTTTTCCATTTTCTTTATTTATTAAAAAGATAGAAAATTTATGTTCACTATCAACAAGAACATATGAATTCAATTTACAACCTTCAGCGAAGCCAAAAATGTTTATCTAAATCTTGTTGACAACACGTGTAGTTCTCATTTTTGCCATATTTCTTTTCGAGATTTTAGGAAGGTATAACTATCACTGCAACGTGCCATATATTCTTTACTCCCATTTATGCTTCATATACCTTTGTGAATGCCACTGGATTATTTTCATGTGTTCGATAGAGATTTAACTATTCACTTCACTCATTATTATTCATGATCTCTTTTATTTTAATTTTCTTGCCCTACACGTGGGTTTATCGATTTCCACAACTTATGTACATTGACACATCGACATATCTCATTGTATTATCCTCTATGTTAAAATGTTTGAAGTGAACTGTTTAATTTGTCGAAATAAAAGTCTCGACAATTATGAATTCTCAACAGATTAGTTATTTGACTCATCCGTCGTTATGAACTGTCGTCCCCAATAGTTCGTCTCTGTTATTCTCGACAGATAACTAAATATCAACAGATGAGTTAAGTCAACTGTCGATATAAACTGCAGTATTTCTCGACATACGACAGCTTCTCGATAGATCAGTTTGGCAGTCATCTATCCACATGTCCAACTTGGTTCATCCAAACATTACACGTTCTTTTTTTTTTTTTTTTTTTGCTTTCTTACTCGTGTATTTCACATTAACATGTACGAATTATTATGATTTGATCTTCTTTTCTTTGTTGTTGTACCTTGTTCTTGAAGATGAATTTTGAAATCCTCGTTCCCGAAAATGCTCGCTTGCCCGCCCATATATTCATGTTCGGGACTTTGAACTTCAGTTCAATTTTAGTGCAGGGATCAAGAATACCAAGTTTGTCCTTCAATTGTAGCACGAGTGCGGTTAGGGTAATACTTGTCGGCACTAAAATGGAAGTGGTTTTGTCTCCTCTCCACTTCCATTCGTCATCCACATGAACAAATTGTCCCCCATACGACACTATAAATCTCAAATGAGTACTCATACCTGAAACGTTGAGATTGCAACGGTAAGAATTATTCACAATAAATATGTCTACATTTAATAATATGAATGTCGAACTTTCGAATATTGAAATCCATGGAATAGCAGAAGGTGAAATCAACACTGTGTTAACAAATTTCAACTGTCGAATTC